GCAGAGTCCTGCACTTGAGATGGAAGAATCCCAAGCATAGTTACAAGCTGGGGACCAACCAGTTAAGCAGTAGTTCTGCAGAAAAGGACCTGGGGGTTACAGTGGATGAGAAGCTGGATATGAGTCAACAGTGTGCCCTTGTAGCCAAGAAGGCTAATGGCATATTAGGTTGCATTAAGAGGAGCATTGCCAGCAGATACAGAGATGTCATTATTCCCCTTTACTCAGCTTTGGTGAGGCCGCATCTGGAGTATTGTGTCCAGTTCTGGGCCCCCCACTACAAAAAGGATGTGGACTCATTGGAGAGGGTCCAGCGGAGGGCAACCAAAATGATTAAGGGGCTGGAGCATATGACCTACAAGGAAAGGCTGAGGGAGTTGGGTCTGTTTAGTCTGCAGAAGCAAAGAGTGAGGGGGGATTTGATAGCAGCCTTCAACTTCCTGAAAGGGATTCCAAAGAGGATGGAGAGAGGCTGTTTTCAGCAGTGACAGATGGCAGAACAAGGAGCAATGGTCTCAAGTTGTGGTGGGAGAGGTCCAGGTTGGATATTAGGAAAAACTATTTCACTAGGTAGTGAAGCACTGGAATGGATTACCTAGGGAAGTAGTGGAGTCTCCATCCGTAGAGGTGTTTAAGTCTCAGCTTGATAAAGTCCTGGCTGGGTTGATTTAGTTGGGATTGGTCCTGCCTAGAGCAGGGGGCTGGACTTGATGACCTTCTGAGGTCTCTTCCAGCTCTATGGTTCTATGATTCTATGTTTAATGTCTGTTTTTTTGGTTCTTCTAGTGTAGTGAATCAATGGACAAAGAGGATGAGAAAGAGAAGGGAGGTGCCTTGAGGTGTTTTTCCCCACTTTTATAGTGTCAGTCCCCTCTCCTTGGAAAACTTTTCCAGATGAGATTCAGGCTGTCAGGTCGTCTGTGTGGAAAGAAACTCCATGCATTTTCTGTGCTAAGATGTAGGGTTTTTTTCTTCACCCCTTTTTCTCCCCCTCAAAATGGTCAAGCAGTGGTCCATCAGCCATTTAAATATGGCTGAAGCATCAGCTTGCCCTTTGTCTGAGAGGAACTGGTTTGGCCATTCCCCAGACTTCCCTAGAAAACATGCTTTTAGTCATTAATCTCAGATTATGTTTATATATAACAATACTGCCACATGAATTTTACCATGACATTATTGAGCAGCAAATTATGAATTTTAAATGATCTCACAAGGCATACTTTATACAAAGATTATTACAATAGTCTGTGGGATGTGAACAAAGGACTACCTCCTTTTACACTATGGAATTGTGCTCTCAGATTACTAAAATCAGTTGGCAGTTATTCCAGAAGTTCTCTGTGGATGCACACAATTTTCACATTTTAATTGTTTTTAAAGTAAAGACTAATTGTCAAAATGCATGGCAAAAATTGAGAGAGAGGAGAAGAGCAAGAATGCTCAAAAGATTTTGTAATTTTAAATATCAGCTCCTTCAGTAATTTTTTGGGGGGGGGGGCAGATAAAGTCTGCGGTTTTGTTGCAGATAAATTCTAGTAACTATGAAAAACATCAGGTAAGAACATTGCCGCCATCTTTTTCATATAACAGACTAAGAAGAAAAATCACCAGACTATTGATTTTATTTTGTGCGCACATGCAGAACTTCATTTACTTCCATAAACAGAAGTAATCTGCGCAATCTACAATTATTTTCTGTAATGGAAGTTAACTTCAGAAGCATAGTTTGTAGAAAGCTGCTAAAATCAAATGTGCTTGCTGCTTTGAAAAGCTATTTTCCAAGAAAACTATGGAAGATAGGTGCAATGGTACCATGAAACCAAGAGTAATATGCCCTGGTAATCATGGACACTTAATTTCCCTGAATTACTGGAAAAAAACCAGTCTTTTGAGAGGTTGATTGTACTCAGAATATGAGACGGTACAAGTGAAAATATTTGTTCTATGTGAAATTTTGAACAATAGTTCTGAACTTAGATTTCAGATGCAGTGTCATTTACATATCAAGATCAGTAATTACATATTTTAGTGGCTATTACACTGGCATATCTGAATTTAGAATCATATCAACAACGTACAGATACGAGGAAGAATATATTTTTATGCTACTGAAATATACTGTTAAAATATTTATTTTTAGGTTATCACAGATAGAAAGACTTCATCAGCACCACAAAAAGGGATTAAAGATTGACAAAATTTTCAACACCAAAGCTTATATATTTATTGAACACCAACCTTATCCCTGAGGCTATCCACTCTAAACCACTCCAAGAGTTTATCTCCAACTTCCAATGGGCTTGATAGAAATGTCCTGTATGTTAAAAGGAAATCTTCTATATAAGTTGGGTCCACAATAGAATGTTCTTCTATTAAATGCATGATGAGTCGCTCAGGTGTTGCCTTAAAAATAGACGTGCAAAGGGCTTTCAGAAAGTCACACACAGTATCATTACCCCAATGATTATTTCCAGGCTTTGAATCACACATAGTGAACTTTTTTCAAATTACACTGATAAACTCTTAGAAAGAAAAATGTGATTAAGTTTACATATTTCAACCTTCCTATACATTTTGTGTATGAAGTATCTTGGCATTTACAACAGCATTTGGTTGGCACACAGAATGATATTCCAACCATTTTGTAGTTTGTTTTAATCCAGCACAAACCAGATTAATACATATAAAGACACTAACATGTGGTTTCTAACATAAAACCAGAAAATCTATACTGAATAGATTCTGCTTAATTGGAAGGAGATTTTTCATTTATATAAAAGTATAAGTCTTTTTAATCATCTCTCTGCTGAACTGTTTTACAGACAAATGTGAATATTTGTTCCAGGTTCCCACCATATTTTCTGACAGATTACAAATTTTAGAGATTGATAGAATATTAAGTAAAAGAAAATCACCTTAATAACTATGTGCCCTTTCCTGGTTCCACTGCGATCCAGCTCTCTGTGCTCCTTTACCATAACAATTTCTCCTTCTTCCTCAACTTTATGAGTGTTTTTTTCCACATGGTTCAGAATCCGCCAGTAATCCTGCTGTGCTATGCAAACAAACTGTCCCAGAATAATATGGGGACAATTAATAAACCTGTAGTACATAAAGATATCTCCACGAACTAAACCTGGGCAAATATAATGTAATGGTGATAGCATATCATTTGACATCCAGTCTTCTCCTGTCCAGTTACACTAGATATTAAATTGTAAAAGAATCTAAATTAAATTGATAATCCCTCATACAGTACTAAAATGGTACTGTACAAAAACCAATCTTAAAAGAGAACTTAGCTTGTAAAAAAGTGGAAATGGATATTTTCTGTTTAACTGTTCCTAATGTATTTCAAACACACAAATACCATGACCTTAATGGGTAAATAGCCACTTCAGCACAACACAGAAGTTCCTGTTTCTCAGTTTACAGTAATATATAAAAAAACTGTTCTAAAATAAGAAGGGAGAACTGACGACTAAGAGTTTGTCTATTTGGTATTTCTGGTTTGCACTAGAAGGGAGCATGTACGGCATCAACTGTCCTGTGTGGACTCTGCTGGCCCCTGCCAAAAGTTCCCTAGTGCATGTTAATGTAGCCCTGTAACTTGCACTAGGGAACTTTTAATGAAAGTTGTCATTATTGTATTTCAAAACAAGGGACTGTTATTTTAGCAATCTCTTCCCACACCAACTAATATCACCAATCATCATCATCATCACTATTCAGTAGGGGTATTTCTTGCTGCTTTTTGTAGTTCTCAACAACTGCTGATCTTATCCCCTTCTAATAAGAAGCTACTGGCAATCCTACTTTTCGATGCATGCCACCATGACCCATACAGGACAGTCAGTGCATGACACATTAGTATTCACTAGAGTTTACATTCCTCTATTCCAAACTAAAACGTTGTATCGACAAGCCCTAACTTAACAGAAGGGCCATCCCTCCAAGTATCACACCCCGACCATCAAGTGCCAATCTTTATTTCCAGAATAAAGATCACTATGTTAAATGAAACCAGATTATCTTTTTAATTAGCCATTTAAAAATGTAAGAAAATTATGCACAGATATAATCTTACCTGACAGTCATCTACTTTGGTCCTAACCACTCCATTCATGTACTGTTTATCCAGAGAAGGGGTAATCCCAAAACTATTTCCCATACAGAGACTTTCAGTTTTCCCATCTGGATAGCTGATTTCCACCGTGCCATTTAAAATAACATACCAAGAATCAAGCTAGAATGAATTAAAAAAGTGTAGATCTCTTAGCAAGTTCTGATAAGGAAGATAATTTCATGCTTATCTCCCAGAAATACTTGCCCATGTGGTACTAAATATGCTATAATTACAATTTTATAGCATTCATTCATTACAATATGTGAAAGACTACTGTTTACTGTCCACTAACTTGTAAGCAGTAAATGAAGGCTGAGCCAAAATAAAAAAGTTTATTTCTAACTCCACAATCTACCAACTGCTAATAATTTTCAAATGTTTGCATGGTCTGTTACTACTCTTCTGACAACAAAGCCTATGGTGTGATACTCCATTTTTTATATAGCCTTAAATCATGACCACTGGAAACTCAAATCTGCAAAAGACTTCAGTTAAGAAAGTAGATAACAATTGCACAAGATTAAAAAGATTTATAAAAAGATTACTTCAGAAAAAACAGGGTTACTTACCTGTAACTGTTGTTCTTCGAGATGTGTTGCTCATGTCCATTCGAATGAGGTGAATGCATGCCGCGTGCACGGTTCCCAGAGCATTTTTTCCCTAGAGGCACCCATCGAGCCAGCAGGTTGCCCCCTGGAGTGGCGCCGCTATAGTGGTGCATAAGTACCCCTGCCGGCCCCTCTCTTCCTCAGTTCCTTCTTGCCGGAGCAACTCCAACACAGGGGAGGCAGGGGGGAATCAAATGGACATGAGCAACACATCTCGAAGGACAACAGTTACAGGTAAGTAATCCTGTTTTCTTCTTCGAGTGATTGCTCATGTCCATTCGAATGAGGTGACTTCTAAGCTAGCCCACCGGAGGCGGGGTCAGAGCCACCTTTTTAACTAACAGAACAACCACACCAGTATACAACTACAATGATAACTTTAATCAAACAGTGCAACCATAGAATATAACACAGAACTCAACCAGTAGGCATGTAACACTGTAGCGTGCCACTCTTGCATCCACTTTCATAACTATAAACATGTGATTTTAATTTTATACATCGCATAATTTAAAAATAAACTGTTTATCAGAGTGTGTAAGTAAGGGCTGGGGATAGCAAATGATGGACAGGAGGAGAATAGAAAGGGGCGGGGCAGTAGATCTTCGCCTGTTCGGAGATTTAAAAAGTGATCTTGGGTGTAAAAAGGTTGGAGCCCACTGCCCTAGAGCATGGCCAGGAAAACCTCGCCAGCCCTCCTGACCGCTCTCAGTTCTCACACATTTATATGCAACTCCCTTTCGTGGGGGGGACCACAATCCCTGCGTCCTGCGACTCTGTAGGTGTGCCCCCCAGTCATCTTCGGAGGCGTCCGTGATGAGCTGGGTTGACAGCAGCTCTGCACGATAGGGAACACCCGCACACACCTCTGTGTCTAATGTCCACCAACTGAGCGAGGCCAGGACGTCCTGCAGCACAGACAGGACCTGGTCCCATCCCTGTCTGGCCTGATTGAAGGATTTCGCCAGCCATGCCTGCAGTGGCCTGAGCCGCAGTCTGGCGTGTCTGACCACATAGGTACAGGTCGCCATGTGACCCAGGAGTTTCATGCACAACCTCGCAGTCATCAACGGGGACTGCCCCAGGCAGGATATCAGAGTCCTGATTGCCTGAAACCTGGACAGTGGGAGGTAGGCGCACCCCGTCCTGGCGCACAGAGCCGCCCCCACGAACTCTATGTTCTGTGATGGTATCAATTTCGACTTCTCCTCGTTCAGGATGAGTCCAAGTCTGCCGAACAGAGACCGCGCCAACTCTATGTGCATGGCGACCTGGTCCCTTGACCGATCTCTGATGAGCCAGTTGTCCAGGTACGGAAAAACTTGGACTCCAAGCCGCCTGAGGAAGGCAGCCACCACCACCATACACTTCGCAAAAACCCTGGGAGCGGCTGACAACCCGAAGGGTAGGACAGTAAACTGGAAGTGTTGGTGGTCTACCACAAACCAGAGGAACCTCCTGTGGGTCGCCCAGATCGCGACATGAAAGTAGGCGTCCTTCAAATCGAGGGCCGCATACCAATCCCCTTTGTCTAGTACTGGAATTATTGAGGCCAGGGTCACCATCTGAAACCTTTCCTTTCTTATGTGGCCGTTGAGGTCCCTGGGGTCCAGGATGGGCCGAAGGCCCCCTTTCGGTTTCGGAATAATAAAACAACAGGAATAAAACCTCCTGCCCTCCCTGCGGGAAGAGACCCGTTTCACCGCCCCCTTTTCCAGGAGCGCAGCGACTTCCTGTTTGAGGAGGGCCTCGTGAGATGGGTCCCTGAAGAGGGACAGGGAGAAAGGAAAGGAGGGGTAAGGACCTAGGAAGGAGATGGACATAATTTCCTGGGGTTATTCTAACACCCATTTGTCCGAGGTGATGACCGACCAGGCCTGGGCAAAGTGGGACAACCGGTTCCCAAACTGGGGGGAAATAGTGGGTATCAGTATGCGAGTCCCCGAGTGCCCCTTCAAAACGACTGCTTAGGTGGGTTGGGAGGGGGCTGAGTGGGACCCCTGCCTGCATCCGGGTGGGGCCAGCAATGCCTACTGCGAGCTCCTGAGCCCAGCACATTGGCAAAACCCCCAGTAGGACCACTGGGCCACCACCACCAATAGTCCGGCCGTGCAGCCTGCGGCTGGGCCCTATGCGGCTGCCTACTTGGCAACTGCCTGATTGGGGCGCGGGCTTATGTATACCCAGTGACCGAAGAGTAGACCTGGTATCTTTCAGACTGTGAAGCCTGGAGTCGGTATTTTCCGCAAACGGGACCTTCCTGTCCAATGAAGCCTGCAGCCAGGCGTTACATCTCATTACCACACCGGACGCCATCGTCCTCGCTGCCAAGTCTACCACATCCAGGCACGCCTGTTTGGCGGTGCATGCTATTTTCCTGCCCTCTGTGGCCAGGGTGGAGAACTCCGGCATGTCCTCCAGGGACAACCTGTCTTGGAACCTGTCCATCACTTGCCAGGTGTTGTAGGCATAGCGACTGAGCATAGCCTGCTGGTTGGTGATGCGCAATTGCATCCCCCCGCCCCCTGTTGCATATACCTTGTGCCCTATTAGGTCCATACGCTTAGGGTCCCTTGCTTTCGGAGAAGGGCCCGGCTGCCCTTGTCTCTCCTTCTGGGCCGCCGCCTGGGTCACGACAGAACCCGGGTGCAAATAGAGGTGCTCATGCCCCGACTGGGGGACATAATACCTCCTCTACCCCCTTGAACGTCAGGGATAGGGATACTGGCATCTGCCACAAGGTGTTCATAATTTTTGCCACTGTTTTATTTAGTGGCAGGGTCAATTTCGCCGGGGTATCCTCAGTGAGGATGTCCATCATTGGGTTTGATTCCTCAGTCACCGGCTCAACCGGCACCCCGAGGTTCTCCACAAGTCGGCGAAGCAGCTCCGGGTGCACCCTTGAGTCCATGGCTGGCATAGCCAGGGCTGGGTCTGCCAAAGCCTCATCTGGAGACGATGAGGATGTTGACTCACGACTCAGGACTTGCTGCTTCATCACCACTGGAGCAGGGACTGGCTGCTGCGGTACCTCCGGCTGCTGTGGGAGATTGGCCCGTGATTCCCCCAGGTCTGGGTGCCCCTTAGGACTAGCCCCTCTGGGTGACAGCAGGGCCCAGGACAACGAGGCCGAAGGCGTGGACCTCCTCTGCGACCCACTGACTGAACCAGAAGGCAGGAGTGACCCTTGCCCCTGGTGATACGCCAAGGGTGTCCAAAACGGCCAGGGCTGCTGCACCTGCAGCGGCCCCGTCTGTTCGAACCCCTGCGGTGCCACTCGGTGCCGAGAACAAGACCAGTGCCATGAAGACATGCGAGACGACCCTGCCGAACATAGAGACTCCGTCTTGGATTCCGAGGACAGCTCGGACGCCAACCAGGGTGGTGCCGTTGAGGGTTGACCGTGTAGCGCTCTGGGCCTAAACCGTGCCATTGACTCTGGCTTCCCAGCGTGGGGACGGGGCTGCGGCGGTAAGTGCAGCACCAGACCACTTGGTACCAGCTGGTAGGACGGTGCCTGCGGAGCTGGATCCTATGGTGCCTGCAGGGTCAGCGCCTGCGGTGCCAGCAAGACCGGTGCCTGTGGTGCCAGCAAGGCGTAGGCATAGCGACTGAGCATAGCCTGCTGGTTGGTGATGCGCAATTGCATCCCCCCGCCCCCTGTTGCATATACCTTGTGCCCTATTAGGTCCATACGCTTAGGGTCCCTTGCTTTCGGAGAAGGGCCCGGCTGCCCTTGTCTCTCCTTCTGGGCCGCCGCCTGGGTCACGACAGAACCCGGGTGCAAATAGAGGTGCTCATGCCCCGACTGGGGGACATAATACCTCCTCTACCCCCTTGAACGTCAGGGATAGGGATACTGGCATCTGCCACAAGGTGTTCATAATTTTTGCCACTGTTTTATTTAGTGGCAGGGTCAATTTCGCCGGGGTATCCTCAGTGAGGATGTCCATCATTGGGTTTGATTCCTCAGTCACCGGCTCAACCGGCACCCCGAGGTTCTCCACAAGTCGGCGAAGCAGCTCCGGGTGCACCCTTGAGTCCATGGCTGGCATAGCCAGGGCTGGGTCTGCCAAAGCCTCATCTGGAGACGATGAGGATGTTGACTCACGACTCAGGACTTGCTGCTTCATCACCACTGGAGCAGGGACTGGCTGCTGCGGTACCTCCGGCTGCTGTGGGAGATTGGCCCGTGATTCCCCCAGGTCTGGGTGCCCCTTAGGACTAGCCCCTCTGGGTGACAGCAGGGCCCAGGACAACGAGGCCGAAGGCGTGGACCTCCTCTGCGACCCACTGACTGAACCAGAAGGCAGGAGTGACCCTTGCCCCTGGTGATACGCCAAGGGTGTCCAAAACGGCCAGGGCTGCTGCACCTGCAGCGGCCCCGTCTGTTCGAACCCCTGCGGTGCCACTCGGTGCCGAGAACAAGACCAGTGCCATGAAGACATGCGAGACGACCCTGCCGAACATAGAGACTCCGTCTTGGATTCCGAGGACAGCTCGGACGCCAACCAGGGTGGTGCCGTTGAGGGTTGACCGTGTAGCGCTCTGGGCCTAAACCGTGCCATTGACTCTGGCTTCCCAGCGTGGGGACGGGGCTGCGGCGGTAAGTGCAGCACCAGACCACTTGGTACCAGCTGGTAGGACGGTGCCTGCGGAGCTGGATCCTATGGTGCCTGCAGGGTCAGCGCCTGCGGTGCCAGCAAGACCGGTGCCTGTGGTGCCAGCAAGGCCAGTGCCTGCGATGATGGCCTCAGTACCGGTGCCCTTATGACCGACAGGGCTCTAGGGCTCAAGGGTGCTGGCAGCAACGCACCAGGGGTCATCTGGACCAGAGACGGTGCTGTCAAAGCCAGCGCCGGCACCGGCTAACCCCGTATGTTGGGCCCTTGACTCTACCGATGCCGGCCAGGGCCCAGAGGCTGGGGAGACCACCAGTGTCCCCAGGCCTCTGGTACCAAAGTCGAAGACCCCTCCGAGGAGGGGGGCGAGGGAGGCCATTAGCTCTATCAGCTCCTCAGCTGCCTGGAACGCCTCCGGCGTGGAGGGGCGGTGGGCCAGGATAGGCCCAGGGCTCCTAGCCTTGTGCGAAGTCTCCCGGCCCTGTGTGAAGTCTCCCTCCTCTTCTGTATCCCCTTGTGGGGTATCCGTGCCGGTGCCGGTCCCTGTGGGCCTTGCTTTCAGGTGATCTCCCCCTGGAGTCCTTTACCCGTCTCGGTGCTGGCGTCTATGCACTGAGGCTTCTCTGGAGGACGCAGGCTGTAGCGCCGACTCCATCAGGAGCAACTTCAAGCGGGAATCCCTTTCCCTCTTGGTACGTGGCTTGAACCCCCCACCAACACTTGAGACACTGTCCATGAGGGTCTCCCTTGGACATAGGCTTCGTGCAAGCCACACACGGTTTGAAGCTCTGCGGGCCTGGCATTGGGGGTGCGGGGAGGGCGAGTTCAAGGAAAACTACTTAACAACTACTTAACTACAACTACTGAAACAAAGAACTGCCAACGGGCGAAGATAACAAGCTGATTTCTGCACAAGACAGCAAGCTCCAATGTCCCTCATGGGCGGTAAGAAGGAACTGAGGAGGGGGAGGGCCAGCAGGGGTACTTATGCTCTGCTATAGCGGCGCCACTCCAGGGGGCGACCTGCCAGCCCGATGGGTACCGCTGGGGGAAAAATGCTCTGGGAACCGTGCATGCGGCGCACATGCACCTCATTCGAATGGACATGACCAATCACTCAAAGAAGAAGGGATATTTCCTGAGCAGAACATTTTGGTTTTTTAGTGATAGGGATAGCCCATTCTTTTATGACATTATGAATACATTTTTTAAAAACCAACCTTAACTACAAAAAATAAATAGTGATTGCTTCTAGCACTAAATAAATTGTTTAATGCTATTGTATGTCTGGGGTTCACTATATTGAAGTCCTGAGTTTCAATAACATACCGTGCTTAAGTCATGTTATGTGCTATAACTTACCTCTTGTCCGTCTTCAAGTATGATGGCTCCTGCTTGTTCTACCACTTCAAATATCATAACCGAACAAAGCTCTCTTCTTACAGACATGGTCATGTTTGCAAAGGCTGGGAGTTGATGCATAAATTCCAGTAATTGCTCTATTAGATAAAGGAAACATTGATATAAAGACTGCAAGGCCTGTGCCTCTAAGGTACCATACCCCCTGCAGGTATATTAAACCTCAGAGTTAAACTCACTGAAGGAATTGCTCAGTGGTATTTCAATCACTATTAGTGCCTGTGGCTAAATGAGCACAGCATGCATTTTACAATCGAGATTAATAAATGGAATCTGGCTTTTCAATCTTGATTGCGCTCTCATTGACTATTATGGCATCAATCTAGCTAAGTGTAACAGCACTTGAACTTCAAGCTTTTAAAAAAGTTATAAAGTATTTTTGTTAAATGATCATAGTAAGCCAGATAACATCAATGACATGAAATCATTTTTCTGTGTTCAGAGAAACAGAGGAAAAAGTATAAAGTATCAACTTTTATTTTAATGTTAAACTAATGCCAGTTTTAGCCTAGCATGTGAAGAAATGTTTTTGGCTCAAATTCCTTGGAATTTAAATTCAGTCTCTTCATACTGTGATAATATCAGCCCTGCCAAAAATTTCAAACCCAATTTGCCAGCTTCAGGTAGTTAGAATTTCTCTCCCTTTCCCCCATTAGAAAATTGTAATCACCAAAGTACATCTCAGTGCTAATATTTTCAAATACCCAATATAAGAAAATAATAGTCTAGTTAAACATATAAATTCTTTGGGACAATTATGTACTTCCACAGATTTCAAAGAAATCTCTATTATTGAGTTATAATGCAAAGCATCACATCAAGAGCTTCTCACCAATGTCATCATCCGTTTTGTCTGCAGGTTCTTTCTCAAGGCATTCCCGTACAACATCTCGCCCCAGTAATGGATCGGAAGTTCGGTCAATATCTTCATCTTCTTCTTCATCATCTTCAGAATCCACAGGGGCTTCTGGGAGACCTGTTAAATCGACATCTCCCATATCACTTTCTGTAGCCTGTAGAAAAGAAATTATTAGGCATTAGATTCAATTTCTACCCAGATTTAACAGTTTATGTCATAAGCTTACTCTTCCAATCAGTTTTTAATCACAAAAATGAAAAGTATCATTTGACTAATAATTATGAGTTACAAGTTATGATAACTCAACATGTTTTACCACTTGACTACTTAAGGAAAGATATCACAAAGCAATTTACTAGTACAGAAAAACTGGCATGAATATCTACCTGGTACATGCACATGTTTTTATATCTACTATATATTTCAGAGAGCTTGTCTGTCTGTCCATCTGAGAGTCTGTTTGCTAAAGAACTCCTCCTAAACAGTAAGAGTTAGGACCACCAAATTTGGTATGCAGCTTCCTCTTATCATAACTTAAAGCAAGGTAAGGGTTTGGTTGTGCCAGGACAATGGGATGTGTGTGGAATGTGATTCATCGAATGAAAAGTGAGGTCTGGGAATGACCATAGGAGGAATGACCATAGGAGGAAGCAAGCACAGGAGACAGTTATACTCCAGAATGATCACAGAGGGGCAGTGTGATGGGGCGGCCCCGCACTCAAGCCCAGGGCAGGCACCTGGTGCCGGGGGCGAAGAGGGCTCCACCCACACAGCCCTACTGGGCATGGTCCCAGGGGGACCAGGGTATAAAGGACTGCCGGCCTCCTCCAAAAGGGGAGACTGCAGCCAGAGCTGGTGCTAGTGCCCCACTGCCTGCGGCGCAGACTGGATGGACAGAGGGGGAATCGCCAGGCCTGCTGGACCCCCCCCCGCCAGTCCCAAGCCGAGCTCAACTCTGACACCGGAGCCGCCAGCCGACCACCCTTGCCGTGACCCAGGCACCAGACCAGCTGCCCTCCAGCCCCGACACTGACAGGAAACGTGCCACGACTGCCACGTGACTCACGCCGACCGGTGAGACCACTACGGGCCGGGGAAAGGGGGTAGGAAGTGACCCAGGGCAGGGAGCTGGAAAAGCCCCTGAGGGCTCGGCGCGTTGCGGGGAGAAGCCCCCGCCGAGCCAGTGGTGGGAGCCACCCGCCGCTCATAGTTATACTCCGGCGAGTGGGGGCTGGGATAAAGGACTTTGGGACTAGGCCTCAGGGCCTGCGTATTGAGGACTAGGCAAGGAGGCCATATTTCCCCTACTGCAGGGGCAGTGGATTTTGGGACTAGGCCTCAGGGCCTGCGTATGGAGGACTAGGCCAGGAGGCCATATTTCCCCTAATAAAGGGGCATCATACTTTGGGACGAGGCTTCAGGGCCTGAGTACTGCGGACTAGGCCAGCATTCCCCCTACTACAGGGGCAGGACATTAGGACACTAGGCCAGTGGGCCGTATTTCCCCTAAAAGAGGGGCATTGCACTTTGGGGCTAGGCCCAAGTGGGCTGAACTATGCCCTGGATGGGGGCAGCAACCCCAAACGAGGGAGGAGCCCCCCGACAGGCAGCAAGTAAGCATGCCCTAGATAGCTGCGGAGCAGCCACGGACTGGGTAGCAAGGCCTCTGACGTGGACAGACCTGAAGAGCCACAGAGCAGCCACCAACCAGGCAGCATGTCCCCAGCCAACCCACCACTGGGAACTTGCCACTCTCCATCCCCAAACAAGGGTTAAGGGGGCCAAAAAAGGAGGAGACTATAGAAGATCCAACCCCTCATTTTTTTCCCCCTTTAAAAAACATGTCCTCTAAATCCTTGACCAATTCATTTTAGTTCATCACTAAACCCCTTCCCTACAGAGTATTTGCACTGGATTTTTGCATCACCCTTATATAATGAATTCCAACATCATAGCTTAAGTCATATTTACCCCCAAACAAGCCCTGAGCCTGATCTGGGGAAGGTGAAAAAACTGCCACCTTCTCTATCTGACAGCAAGGGGAAAAGTCCTGCATAGCTCCCATCCCCACCAAGAAAGGAGCAACTAGCATAACACCCACAGTAAATCAGGACAAAAGCTACTATTTAACTACCACAATGAGTGGGAGCATAGGTCAGCTATGGCCAACCTGAGGCCACCCCCCCAAAGTGTGGCTTGCGAAGCTCCCCTCATGACTCGTAAGCTGCCCCTGCGCCACCAAAAATGGCCCTCTCCTCCCGGCTCCCTGTGCTGACCTGGGCAGGGGAGCCATCTGGCGCAGCCATGAAAGATATAGAATTAATGATGGCATCAGCCAGCCTGAGCCTAATGTGGCCAAAAAGCCTCTAAACACGTTTAAATGCATTTTCTTAAAAGGGGCAGAGCAAATGTGACCGGGGGCTCCTTTTAAAGGGGCAAGAGGGGCAGTCCTTCTCCCCCCTCCCCCCGACAACTTTGCCCCGGCTCTTCACTCTGGATCCACGGCTATCTTGGCTCTTTGCCTAGAATGGATTGGCCACCCCGGTATAGATTCTGCTCCACCTGGTATAGGTAAAAGAGGGCTTTTCTTGAGCTAAAGGGGAACCAAATAATACTGCTTCTTTTCTGCTCACTGGCGGGAATGGAAGAATTGGGACGGCATGCCCATGCTGGCCTTTTCTGAAGCTGCCTCAAAAAGTCATTTTGGCTTTCTAGCCCTTAGGGACCACCCTTTTTTCCTACACCACAGACAGTTGCCCCAACCACTTCAAGTGCTGAGGTTATTCAGTATCCATACCATCTGCATATTCACCCTCCTTCCCTCGTGGTCTTCCCTAAAGCTATCTAGTCATGCCCATGAACCTCAGTCAGTTGCTTTTTAATGCAGAGCCCATTAAGGAGAATTTCAAAGCAGAGGGGAGGAACACCCACAGTTTCACCACATTAATACGGTAATGTTCATATGGAATTATTTTCATTAAATCCATTAATAGAGTCATGTTCTACCATTTTTCCACAGAAAGCTCCCAAACACATTGTTGTCAGTGTTGTTCAAAGTCTGAGAATAGATTATGGGCCCTACATTAGTTTTTAATTCAACAATTCTTATATAATTTTGATGTAAAACACAGCAATAAGATCCCAATATTTTTTTGGTCCCTGAAAAAAACTGAATTGTCTGACAAACTCCAATATGTCTCAATTACATAGTACAATTTTAAATGCACTATTTTGATAATTACATAAGATTATAGGCAAATGTGTCTGCATACTTAATATTACTGAAATCTCACTAACTTCAACAAGCACTAACTTCAGCAATCCTATTTAGAATGTAGGGCCAGAAGAGACCTCATTTGTAAGTTTTTTAAAAAAACACTCACGTGTTAAAGATGGATCCTGAAGTATGGCCCTAAGTCCCCCATGCTACACAATCACACTTTGCTTAAAGATCTCAGTGGACGTTCAGGCATGCAGGATGGTCAGAAACGGAGTGTGAATGGCACAGAATCAAGAGACTTAAGCCCCATAACTAATTTTGTGGAATTTCCATGAGATGCAGCAAAAGTTCTCATGACATCTCTCTATAAATGTGCAACAAAAACTGGTGGTTTGGATCTTCCCCTGCAGTGACTGAAAAATGAGTAAATGTTTATGCTATGAAGGCCCATATAAGTGCTAGATATTGGCCAAAACAAGGAAAGATGTGGCCCCTCCTCTGAAGAATTTACATAAAGCACTGCTTTAGTGCATAAAAGCCAGAGTGTGAAACAGCTAGAAAGAAAAATGAACCCGTTACTTTGGTTTTCACTATCCAAGTTGACAGAAACACAAAAAAGGCAAATGATTAAAAGAATTTTAAAACACTAAGGGTACCTGACCATTGTAATAACTTATCTAGTGATACTTGGAGTCTTTAAATCAAGACTGGATGTCTTTCTAGAAGAACTTCTCTAGCTCAACAAAAAGTTATGAGCTTGAAGCAGGAATCACTGGGTGAAGTTCTGTGATTCTGCTACGCAGGAGGGGAGATTAGATGATCTTAGAGGTTCCTTCAGGCCTTGAAATGCATCACTCAGGATCTGGCCTAGATTCCTGTGCTGAAGCAGGACCAAGTTCTCGTAGATTATATGCGACTCATCTGTCTAATCTGTCCTTGAAAACCTTACTTGATGGGGATTCTACAACCTTCCTTGGAAGCCTATTCTACACCTTAACTATATTTGAAGTTAGAAAGCTTTCCCTAATATCCAACCTAAAACTCCCTTACTGAAGATAAAGCCCATTACTTATTTTCTACCTTCTGCAGAGCCAAAAAACAACTGATCATCTTCCTCTTTATAACAGCCCTTATCTTATTTGAAGACTTTCAACAGTCTCTGCTCAGTTGTCTTTTCTCAAGAATAAATATGCCCACTTTTTTTTAAAATGTTATTCATAGGTCAGATTTTCTAAATCTGTTATTTTTGTTCTTTGCCTCCAAATTCTCCCCAATTTGTCATTTTCTTTTCTAAACCGTAATGCCCAGAATCAGACACACTACTCCAGCTGACACTTCATTGGTATGAAACACAGCAAGACATTCACCTTCTCTCTCTTTTGAAAGACACTTCTGTTAATACATGAGGCCCATATTAGCCTTTTTTAGTAACTGCATCATATTGCTGACTCTCACTCAATTTGAGATGCACTATAAACTCCCGATGCTTTTCAGCAGTACTATCACCTAGGCAGTTATTCCTCTTTTGTAATTGTACATTTGATTTTCCCTTACTAAGTGAAGTACTTTGCACTTGTCTTTACTGAATTTCATATTGTTTATTTTGGACTAATTCTCAAGACTTGTCAGTACTGTAATCCTGTCCTCCAAAGCACTTGGTGTTTCAATGGGGATTCTATAAATTTTCATTAATGAAACTGAAGTGTTTAAAAAAAAACAAATTTACTTTTTCTGTTACTTGTTGTGTTTGACCTATGCGCTTGACCTTGAAAAATGCTTTAATTTACCAAAATGAGAAAAAGTAAAGAATTTTGGGCTCCAAAGCTCTCAGTTACTATGCAATATTTTAAGACTACCTTGAGACAGCAAATTTGTTGTAACAATTGAATCTAGAACCAGAAAGAGAGACTTTGTTTAACTTTACTTTATCTCCC